TTTACTTTTAAAAATAAAGGTAGAAATAATAAAGGAATCATTTACTTTTATAAAATAAAGATAAATTTTTTTTTCATTTATTTATATTTATTTTTTAAATATAAATGAAAAATTTATCTTTATTTTTGAAGTATAAATGATTCATTTAGTTTTATCCATTATTATAAATGAAAAATAAAACTAAATTGACACCCCTACTCCCATCTACGAAACAGAAGAACTTGACGCAGACATACGAGAGTGTATCATCCATCAGTTTCCAACCCCTAAAAGCCCGATGCTTCAGTGACTCACGCGGCTGTTTCAGTTTAAAACGGTATGGCAAGTACATAGAAGAATTGCAAGAGATCTTTTAGAAGTTAACAAAGCCTTTCGCAAGCGAAGGGAAAAAACTAAGATTATTTATCGATGCTCTGAAAAATGGAGGCTCATTGAGTCAAACTACGGTCTCGCCATAGTTAGCAGAGTACAATCAGGGTGTGAGTGTGGGCTTTAGGTAAGAGAAGATCCCCACGTACAACAACATTCACTCTCAAAAAATATCAGGCACCCTACTCCACACCCACACGGCATGTATTAGTCAAAGAAAAGAAATCCAATATGCATGAGGTGATATTTACATCATTCTGAATAATCGGTGTGCATGAGATATACAAAAACGTCACTAGATTTGATTTATTATCGAATAAGTGCCTGTGCAAGTTGACGTAGTGACGTGTACACTCGAAACGTTGCTATACAGCAGAGAAAAAAGAAAAATGTGTGCGATACACCTGTAGAGAGAAATAATTCAATTCTTATGTTACTGTGAATAAGACGCATTTCGACAAACGGTAACCACTGCAAAATGGCTGCATCATCTTCTGCACGTCTTAAGGGTATTCTATCAGTAACTGTACTGAAAGCAAACGATTTAATCAAAAGTGATTTTATCGGCGAAAACGATTGTTATGCGGTCATTTCACTTGAACCTCTTGCCGTGCAATCGAAAGTAAAGGCTGGAAACCAATCAAAACAAACAGAAACACGCCAGAAGACACAAATTCGTGACGGTTGTCATCCCATTTTCAACGAGAAACTTCTATTTCCAGTAGCACAGGAATTAGAAGCATTGTACGTTCAAGTATGGGATTCCGATATTGGCAAAGACGATCTTTTAGCCTATGGAACATTGAGTTTGCTGGACAATTCCCAAGGTGGCGAATTTAATACGAATCTGAACAAAGAATGGCTTCATACCGCAACTATTTCCATGGATAATGAAAAACGTGGACATGGTGGTACACTGGAACTCGTCCTTCATTTTATACCGGAGACAGTTGCTGCCTATATGAGCAAAAAATTCAATGCTGCGCAAGCCGACATGAAGAAAAAATTGACGGAGCAAATCGTGGCAAAAATGACTGATGTGGCTACAGACCAAATTCGAGGATATATCGGCATTGGTGATTGATACTGCTTCGAATTTTCTTTAAGAACCGTCTTTACTCATTTTTGACAAAACTACAAATCCATCCTTTACTGTCAAGATTATAGATAATAAAATTCACTTGATCACAAATGAGACAAATGTTCTCGTTGGCTTTTCGATGCATTCTCTAGCAGAGGCAAGACACATCTCTTTCTAGTCAGTCAGAATCATGGTATTAACTGTTCAAGAGCTAGATATTTTTCATCAAGTTTCTCTACAGAGTGCAGCCCATCTATTAGAGTTTTCACAAGTCCACTGTTCTTCATTGTCAATCGCCTATTTAAGAAAGTTTGTATTCATTGGAACTACAATTAAGTATTAACTCGATGGCAGCCATTTTTCATTCAAATAATCGATTGTTAGTCAGTCGTAATTTAATTTCTAGGGTGGTCGAAGGCATGGATGAATAGAGACTTCACATCCACACCTTCATTACAGGTTGTCAGCTGCCCTTAGGCCTTCAGAGATCCGTTCTCTGGTAAACCAGTTTTTCAGAAGCTCCAAAAGTAACCAAAATCGTTTCTTAATGAAGCATGATTGTAGATCGCAAGTGTTTGATTAAAATGAGACATCTCCCCGCTTTTCTTGCAAAAAATCCTATAACTTTGCAAAGAAAGGCCGTGTAGAGCTGGGAGATGTCTCATTTTAATCAGACACTTGCGGGCTACAATCATGCTTCATTAAGAAAGGTTTTGGTTATTCTTTAGAGTTTGTGAAAAACTGGTTTTTCAGAAAATGGGTCTCTGAAGGCCTAAGGGCAGCCGACATGATGATATTCGGAATCAACGTGAGCGAATATCTATAATCCACTAGGTTTTGCTGAGAAAGCGATGTGACAGTTCGCGAGGTTCCCTCGTAAGATATGGCTTGTGTTTTCCTTTTTGAACAATGATCTCTTCATAAAAACACCTAGCTTCAGATACAAACTGCCGATGTGGACAGAACAAAACAGTTCGACAGTACTTGACAAAATGCTCTGTCTACGACATTCAACGAGCTGCACTTTTAAAAATCTTTAAATATTCGATACCTGTACGAAACGTTTCTGTTCAAAATTGATTAGTTTGGTTGTATCTGAATCGGAGTTGGAACCGAATTCAATCCAATCGGATCGCGTCGGCCGTTAACGACCGATGAAGAAGTTTTTCAAAATCGGTAAAAATCGGTCTAAAAAAGCTTGATTATTTTCTAAAGGATATCCTAGGTCCAAAAAACGGCCCGTTAACGTTCTCAAAACGGCAAAAGACCGGCCAGTAAACAAGCCGTGAACATAACATTTTTAATGTGGATGTTTCACGGTCGAAAAATAGTCGGAAGACGGTCAGTTAACGGTCACTGTGTAACTTACGAACTTTAATTAACTTTCATTAATGGTAATTGTTTACCTAGTTATAAAAAGTCAATTTATAGCCAACTTCCATTTCCGATTATTGTGCACATTTTTTGTCGTTTAGTTCAGATCTGATTTTTGTTTAGTTTTCTTTTAGTCAAGTTCTTGAGAAAAATAAAATATTAAAAACTCTAATTTAAACTTAAGTGAGATTAAATTGGGCGAAGTTGTACAGTGCTTACGGAGGGTTTATATTACACTTTATTTTTGATAGTTTAATCGCAACGCAGTTTGTCCTTCATTTTACCATCTGAAACTGTCATTTCACACCTCGGTTCCGAGAGGTGCTAACGTCATTTGACGATGAACTGAAGAACGAAACCATTATCACAGGCATGTTTAAGCTGATCCACACCAACACATGTTTGGTTGTTGCTATTGATGTTTTTTTCAAATAGTAACAATCGTCAGAGAAAAGGATCATATCATCACCAAAGTGAATTCTAGTACTCTTTACCTCTATTAAATCACAATAACAAATAGCTTTTTATAATCTGATATATACATGTATTATGACATATTAATCACTTCATAAATAGATAAGAATATAATGTGAAATACGTACATTTAACGCAAAAGACATTGAATTATGATTACTTTAACTTCGATGACGTAGTGATAAAATAGCAAAGTTGAAGGAGAACATGCATTCAAAAAGTCCAGTTATATATATAACTGATTCACCAGCCGTTCCAGGGCAAAGTGGTGTTCATTATAATACACTGAATTTGCCGAGAACGTCTGTGGTCTATCCGCAAACTGGTTCACACGTGCCACTCTCGTCCATCTTTACTCCACACTCGCCTGCACACCGCATTGCTACATCATTGTATACTGCTCCAACATACCATTCAGGTGGTGGTATTACGCAGTATTGGGTAACAACGACACAATGGCAAGCCAAATGGCCAAGGATCCCGATTGTTTTATTAGCCATTTCGTAACTGTTTCTGACAATCGGTGTTTTTGCATTAGAAATTCTTAATATTTATTTTTATGTCACAGCGTATATATTCGATGGTTATGGCACTACGCTACCATCGGGAATATACGCCTACAAATTTACAGGAATATGCGCTCGTCTGGAATTTTCTATCGCTGGTCTTTGCTTGTGTTCTTCTGGGTTTAGATGGTAATATACTGGATAAGACCAAAACAGAACATTATGTATTCTTCCTGAATGATCTCAGTTCATTATTGGAAACGAACGATTATGAAATGAGAATAGGATTTATGAAAGGTCAAATAGCATGTGTAAGTAACGTGACACTTTTGTCTGTAAAGCTTGTATGTTTTGCCATTTTCTCTGTTTTAAGGCTGCTGTTTTACTAGTGTCCACGCTTGTCTACATCGGCTTATATATTTATATTACAGTCATGGTTTATCTAGCAGAACGTCGGAATCAAAGAGTTATGCCACGATACTTACAACAACAACCGATTACAGTAGTGGAATCGAATCTGTAACTTACCACTATCAAAAATTAACCTTTGCACATGGACATCGTCACGTTGCCTCCGCTTTCTTTGTGATTTATGAATTTTCCCTTTTAACAGATAACTGATAAAAGCTCTTGCCGCATTTATGAATTTGCAACAGCATATTTTTTTCTGTTTTGAATTGTTGTGTCCATCATATACCCTTTCAGAAAAAATTCAGCTGTCATTAGGCCCGATTACTGATAAAACAATCGTTTTCTGTGTATTTGAAAACCTCTGAAAGTGGCTGGTCTTTGGACTAGTACTTCTGAAGAGCACAGGATTACATTGCAAAACGTACGATTTTCTATCGGGCTGAAAATAAGAGAAATAAAATACTTTTAAGCATGAAAAGCAGTTTTGGAAAACCTTGCTAGCGATTGCTAGCAGCATGACGTAGGAAACAACTTTTGTCCCGATAGTTTTTATGAGCTATGTGCGTAATTCGAATCCGTGCCCAGATTTTGGGACGCGTACCCCTACAACAAGGGCTTCCGAAATCCCAGCAGTTATTGTCAGAACGAATAATTTTTAATTGTAACATGGTAGCTAGATGGCGCAAAGTGTTTACTGCAATCTGTGCAAGGCCGATGCTTTATTTGTTGTGTCTCTTGAATGGCAAGCATTTACCCGACGGAATGGTAACGAATTACGAGTGACTCAGCAAAATAAGCAGATAGAGAGGTCGGGCTTGTGCAGAATTGTAGAAAACACCCTGAGTTATCTAGCCAGAATATTATAATTAAAAATCCACTGCAGATTCAGAATCTGGCAATAGAGGTCTGCGGGGGACTGTCCCGACCCCGCGGGACCAGGACTAAACTTTACGCGATCGAGACTCAGAGATCTGCGGGGCGATTCCGGTCTCGCAAGACTTTTAATGCGGCCGGAACCGGGTTTTTTGAAAATACTCTAGTACGGAGCATGAAAATTTCTTATGAGGGAACGTTCTTAAGTGCCCCCTCGCTTTTCAACGAAACCTAGTGGGTTATAGGTTGTCGATGATGCTAATTCCGAATATGAATATGAGAGCTGCACTTAGGGCTTCTGAGATCTGATTTTCTGGAAAACCAGTTTTGCCGAAACTCTGAAAAATAACCAAAGATTTTCTCAATGACCCATGCTGGTAGCCTGCACATTTCTGGTTAGAATGAGACCTCTCACAACTCTACATGGCCTTTCTTTGCAAAGTTATAGAATTTATATGAAAAGGCCTAAATTAATTTCTTATTTCTGTAGCTTTAAGGTGGCAATAAATATCTAGCGCTTTTCTTGTAAATCCTTTAATTTTGCAAAGAAAGGTCTTGTAGAGATGTAAGAGGTCTCATTTTAATCAAAAATGTGCGGGCTACAAGCATGGGTCATTAAGAAACGCTTTGGTTGTTTTTCAGAGTTTCTGCAAAACTAGTTTTCCAGAAAAAAACGGATCTCAGGAGCCCTAAGTGCAGTTGTCATATTCATATTCGGAATCAGTATCATCGATAACCTATAACCCACTAGGTTTCGTTGAAAAGCGAGGGGGCACTTAAGAACGTTCCCTCATTAGTACACAAAAACAAATATTCCTAAAATCAGTTATTCTAAAACAGAATTCGTAAATCTTTTCTTTTTCTTTCCACTTTGATTTCTTCTCCTTCGATTTATTATTAATTGTCAAACACCCTCATCCTGATATGAGTCGCAAATCAAGTAAGTCAATAAGATTCGACCAAAAACGAGAACGAAACAGATTTCAGGCAAGAATGCATTATTCATATATGATAATTTCGACGGTCTGCCATACTTCTTCGTTTTTGATCTAATTTGGATTTTTGTATCCACAACATCTTTATTTCGTTGACTCAACTAAACGTTGTTCGCGTAGAAATACAAAGCTTTACGTGATCGAAGCACAATAAACGTATCCGCAAATACCGTTACATTACCAGTATCATTATAGGCTGCGTCTACAGATTGACGTTCGATTATTTCTACGCTACCATCTTCAGTGATAACGTACAAAAAATGTCCATCGCTAAGGAGCCATTTTGCGCCGGGCATTGATATAAAACCGCAGCAACCAGTTTCACAAACAGGTATACGCTGGAGACAATTCATTTTGCTATCGCGCAATTCGAATCGTATTCGATGAGATCCGTAAATAGTCATACCCAATTTGGACAAATCAGAGCCGTATCGAAGACAATTGATATATTCATCGTTAGTGCATGTATCAGGCGATCTGTATCGTGTTACACGTTTCCAGGAATCAATGTGCCATTCGTCGATCGGCGTACCAGGTCTTTTATACGCAAGCAAAAGTGATTGTTGGTTCGACGTACAAGTTGAAAATTTGTAATCTTCCATTTTCTGAATAGCTGTAAGACACTCGTGCTCTTGATTTCTAGCCGAAAATACGAAAACTCGAGTTTCGGTAAGAAGAATAAAGCCAATGTTCGGCGAAGCAAAGCATATGTCGACAATCTCTTCATTTATCCATTTGTGCTTGCGCTCATTCAATCGATTATCAAATGTTGATATATCGGTCTCGTTAAAGACAACAAGAAAATTCCTGGATCCAGCCATAGCTCGCTCCAGAGCACCACCTATCGGTTTGATTCTAGTTATATCGGTGGGAATCTTTTCGAGAAATCGAAATCGACTAGCCTTAGCAAGACGTACTGCATCAGGTCGTTTCGATCTCGCTGTTGCATCTTGATTCGATGTTACTTGTACACTATCATTAAGTGTATTCTTCAGTAACACAGGTGGTACAGATTGATAAACGTCGAATGTGAGGAATTTTCATAACTGCTTCACAAATTTGAATATGCCACACAAATAATTAGTGTTATGAGTGTGAATTTCAACCGTGCTTATCGCAAGAGGGCTTACATATTTTATTTTAAAGTACTTAAAATATATTCCCTTGACTGAAAGTCTAGGGTCATATGAAATAAATGTCGGTGTCGGCGTCCGCATGTGACGGACGTACATACATATGATCATGTGGCAGTGTGACGGACGTACATACATATGATCATGTGGCAGTGTGACGGGCGTACATACAGGTGATCATGTGGCAGTGTGACGGGCGTACATACAGGTGATCATGTGGCAGTGTGACGGGCGTACATACAGGTGATCATGTGGCAGTGTGACGGACGTACATACATTTAGTCATGTAGCAGTGTGACGGACGGCAATGATCATTTTTCGAAAAAAGTCAGCATTAGAGAGAAGCAGTCTGACGTCCGCGTCAGTCGAACTGTGACAAAGAACCGGGACCGGTTTCTGCTAGAAAACGGCCTAATATGATTTTGAAGCAGAATGATCGCAAAGGCTTCCATTTTCACTTCCCACTCTCAAAAATTCCTTCTGCTGTCTTTCAAACAAAAATTACTGTTCGTTTTTCGCCACCAGTTCAACAAAAGCGATTTACATTTTTCCGCAGTTTTATCGTCCGATT